GCCGCTCATATGTCTGCCTTAAGTAGACGGTATTGGATAGTTAATTATTTAGGAACATGGAAGTTTAGCAATGGCCCCATGGATTGCAATGAATACACACTGTCGAGTGTTCATTTCACAAAAATGTGAATCGCTTTGCTGGACTACGTTTCTGTAAAAGAAAACGACAGTATTGTTAATTCTACTCTAACTCACTGCTGCATAAGTTTAACACGTGCGCTATTGCGACCAATATGATTGATAATTAATTTATTTTGGGTCAGATCACGTGAGTACAATGTTTGTCGTCCAGCCCTCTCCACCCAACACAGGCAATTAATGAAGTTGTCAGGTGAACCAACGTGATGATTTATTACCGCTTGAACACACTAGTGTGTTGAGGAGCAACCTACATGCCATGCATTTAACAATTGGGTCCGACGTTTCGCGTCATCAGGCTGTGTCGGGTGGATGAGGGTGTACAACACATTTTACTCACGTGATTTGACCCAAAAAACAATCATGAATTGCTACATTAATGCTATACATATTTTAATGATTGCTGCCGTTTCTACACTTATAAATGGAATAAGTTATAGATATCACTGCTCACCAGAAGATATTATCATCAGGTGTGAAAACCACAGCAAGAATATAAAAATAAAAACCGCCACTTTTTTTCAAAATTTCTTGCTATGGTTTTCACACCTGATGATGATTGCTTGTGTTGCAATCGAAGCGTCGTGAGAATCTTATTGTTAATTTATTTTATTATTTCCCTTCTACGTGACTTTACCGAAAGAACCAATAATATGATCCCTGCAGTCACGAAAGCTTTAAATCGAAAATTATCCGAGCATGTTTGTGTGGTTCATGCAGATTTTATGGTGTTTGAACATCTGAACACCTGCGTTATTGCCAGAAAGGGTAATGCCTATTCTTCTCAATCTTGATTTGAAGCTTTCGTGACTGCAGGAATCCATACTCTTTGGTTATTTCGGTAAAGTCACGTAGGTATAAAATAAAATAGTTCACGACGTTTCGGGCGCAACACAAGCGTCCGTCATGAGGTGGGAAAGCATGGTTCTGCTGCTGAGGTAGACTGTTTTAAAAGGTTTGAAATGGGTGTAGCCCAAGGGTCATAGAGAAGTGGCCGGGACTAGTAACATGCTAATCTCTCATATTAACATAGCCACTTCCGTGCCCTCGTCGAGGAGGCCACTCTCCTATACATTAACATCACTAGCCCCGCCCACTTCTCTATGACCCTTGGGCTACACCCATTTCAAACCTTTTAAAACAGTCTGCCTCAGCAGCAGACCATGCGCCCGAAACGTCGTGATTATTTTATTTTATACCTACGTGACTTTACCGAAAGAACCAAAGAGTACCTATTCTTCTCATTTCATTAGTTTAATACTGGCAAAACAAGGTCCAATATAAATAAATGTAATAAACTCAATAAATGGAAACAAAATATTTGCATTATAGTAATTGTGTAACGGGTTCCGGAGACACTTGTAGAGGTAACTTCTTTATTACAATACAACACTCCAACAGTCCAACTCTCCAACAGTCCTGATACTCTGTTACAGCCTAGGTACACAGCTTACATACACTACTCTGGCTACGCTCTGGAACTCGCCCTCACAAGGTCGTAGAGTCGGGAGTTCCAGAGTCCCACCACTGGCTCTCACAGCATCCCAGGGTCTTCAGATGGCTGGTCGTGGGTCTTGGGTCTTGAGTTACAACTGGGCCCCGATCGTCCAGGGAGCTCTCCTTTTATGCCTGGTCCAACGAGGGGTGGGCCCGTGTGCGCCACCAGACATCCCACAGAGCACACACAGCCCCCCCCCCCCCCATTGGCGGCGCCAAAAGGCTTAAGCGCCTGGGAACCCAGCGCCTGGCGCCCAGAGGCTTAAGCGTCTGGACCCGCCCGGGAACCCAGAGCCCCCAGCAGCCCCTTCCTTCTTATGTCACTTCAATTGTCAACTATTCAGATAACTCCTCAGGTAGCGGTGGTGCAGTGGTTATTGCACTGCCCTATGAACTCAGCCACTTGATTTGAATCCCCGCCACGGCTAACATTAGCGGCGAATGATATATCAACTTCTCCTGCACCTTCAGCCCGCGTTCACAAACCCACACTGCCCAGCGCGGTGAAGTAGAGCCAAATACATATCCCATGGCTGACAGGGCAGGAAAATAGCTTCATCCAGAAATGGCCTTAAAAAGGGGCTATTATAAATTGTACGAACTGTCAATGTTTTTTTTTGACTCATTGAAATTCTGCATAGTGTTTAGACAAAACAATATCTTATTTGGTTTATTCAATTTCATGTTTTTGCTCAAATACATGTGGGAGTATGTTAGGGGGGGGGGGATGCGTATGCGGCCGATTTGCCGAAGGGCCATCTGTCACTTGGTGCACTGCGATCTACTACGGAACGTATCATGAAAACCTGTGCGAGTGGATTTGTGTAACCTTCGTTGATCCAATCAATCGACAATTGTGCTTTTTGTCAACAGACGGCAAAGCAACTCGGTAGCTCTGTGTATTATAATGGGAATGCAAATAAATTACTTTGCATGCAGCATATGTACCGTCTACATTTTTGGTCTCAACTACACATAGCATTCATTGACACTATGAGACATCTCCTTTACCAGTGGCAAAATATAGTAGTAGGTTTTTTACCCTTTCAACTGGTACAAAAACTGACACCTTTATACAATCCATCATGTTTGCAATAAACACAACACAAGCAGTCAAAATGCAAACAAAAAGAAACAACTCTGATGATGATATGCACTGTCCTTGAAGTTGATTGGTCCACACCCGAGACAGCTTTTCTTAGAGCCTAGTCTCCATTGGTGTTGGACCAGACGACGCCAAAAGGCGTACAACTCTAAGACAGTGCACTATCAGAGATGTCTCAGTGTAAATGCTTACCCCGAGCTCTCAATACTCTGATAGTGCACTGTCTTAGAGTTGTACGCAACACAAGCAATCGTCATCAGGTGAGACAACTACAGCAAGACAAAAACTAATTCAGCAGTTGTCTCACCTGATGACGATTGCTTGTGTTGCATTCGAAACGTCGTGATCTATCAATTTTCTACCTAGGTGATTTTACCGAAAGAACCAAAGAGTATGGATTCCTGCAATCACGAAAGCTTCAAATCAACACTTTTAACACTTGATTGCTCCATTACGGTGCAATTATTTACTATTTAATTGCCATTCATATTTTTTTACGTTCATTCATAATCATTAAAATCTACGATTCCATATTAATTAATTATTTCACAAGTTCAGTCGTTAAATTTATTTGATGCCATATTGCTTCATTTTCACTTTATAACCACGTAACTTTACTGTATTTCACATTCATAATTTGCCGTAATATGATTCATGTAATCATCATCATCATCTATCACATTAATGGTTAGTGCATTGAAAGTGGGGGAAAGGTTAAAACGCAATTTACATTGAGATGGTATACATAATTAAATCACTCGTGTTATTTATTTAAACAGAGTTAACTCTTATCTGCTATGTTCCTCACACAGTCAAAATGCAAACAAAAATAAACAATTTCGATTTAAAGCTTTCGTAATAAAATAATAAAATAAAACATAATACATTTTATTATGTTTTATTTTTATTATTTTATTATTTCCCTTCTACGTGACTTTACCGTAAGAACCAAGAGGAAAAAAGAAACAACTCTGATAATGATATGCACTGTCCTTGAAGTTGATTGGTCCACACCTGAGACAGCTTTTCTTAGAGACTTCCTTTACCAGTGGCAAAATATAGTAATTTTTACTGCTTGTGTTGTGGTTATTGCATCTGGTCCATTACGAATGGAGACTAGGCTCTAATGAAAGTGTGTCTCGGGTGTGGACCAATCAACTTCAAAGACAGTGCGTATCATTATCATTTTCAGAGTTGTTTCTTTTTGTTTGCATTTTGAGTGCTTGTGTTGTGGTTATTGCAAACATGATGCCTTGTATAAAGGTGTCAGTTTTTGTACCAGTTGAAAGGGTAAAAGCCTATTACTATATTTTGCCACTGGTAAAGGAGATGTCTCATGGTGCTTCTGATACTCTTTGTTTTTTTCGGTAAAGTCACGTAGGTAGAAAGATAACAGATCACGACGTTTCGATCGCAACGCAAGCAATCGTCATGGATGACGATTGCTTGCGTGACTTTGCCGAATGAACCAAAGAGTATGGATTCCTGCAGTCACCAAAGCGTCAAATCAAGTTCGATCTTCCTAGTTCTTTCGGTAAAGTCATGTAAAAGGGAAATAATAAAATAAAATAAAACAATAAAATTATCACGACGTTTTGATTGCAACACAAGCAATCATCAGCAGGTGTGTTGCAATCGAAACGTCGTGAGAATTTTATTGTTTAATTTATTTTATTTTATTATTTTCCTTCTACGTGACTTTACCGAATGAACAAAAGAGTATGGATTCCTGCAGTCACCAAAGCTTCAAATCAAACTCTTAGGTTTTTTCGGTAAAGTCACGTAGGTAAAAATAAATAAAATAATAATTAATGAAACTAAATCTATTGATTTATTTGGAAATATTTATTTTATTTTCAAATAAATCAATTGATTTATTTTGATTTAATAAATGAAAATAAATCAATTGATTTATTTTGATTTATTATTATTTTATCAATTGATTTATTTGAAAATATTTATTTTCAAATAAATCAATTGCTTTATTTTGATTTAATAAACGAATATAAATCAATTGATTTATTTTGATTAATTTTCATGTATTATAGTTTTATTTTTACCTACGTGACTTTACCGAAAAAACCAAGAATATGAATCACTGCAGTCACGAAACCTTCAAATCCAGCTTCAAATCCAGCTTCAAATCAAGTTCGTTCTTCCGGAAGATCGATTATCTCAACCGCCGACTCTTCCGGCAGAGAGAAGTTCTACCGGAAGATATCTTCCGCCACCGGCAGAGCAGCTCCTCTCTGCCGGTGGCGGAAGACCGCGGCGGCGGCGGCTGGCGGACCCCGTAGGAGCGCGGCAGTCGCTGGCGATGCAGCGGCGGTCGTGAGGCCCCCGCGGGGAGACCCATTCGCTCGGCCCTCAGCACTTCGGCCGCTCGCTTCGCACAAAGGTCCGTGGCAAACTTGCATTTTGGCGAGCCACCGAGCAGCGCCTCGTCCTTCGCATCGGCGTGCGTTTGTTGTGTTGTTGGAAATATGCGGGCGGGTTGTTGTGTGTGTGTGTGCGCGCGCGCGCCGGTCGCACGAGCGCTAGGCCTCGGGCGCGATGGTGCCGCGCCTACCGGGCGAGGCGCGCCTCGGGCGGTAGAGATTCTATCCGAGGGTGCGTGTTGTCCCACGGTGACCGGGGGCTAAAAAAAAAAGAAGGGGAAATGAATGGCTCGTGCATTTGAATTTGTAGCCGGTGCTCAAGGTTGCATGCACGTGGAGCCAGACCAAGGCTTGGTGGTGTTCTTAAATAAGGAAATGTTGCAGCTTCTAGGAATTGCAATAGAGTTTAATTTTGTGACTGCAGTGATTCATATTCTTGGTTCTTTCGGTAAAGTCACGTAGAAGGGAAACAATAAAATCAAAATAATATTGTTTTATATTTTTATTATGTATTTTTATTGTTTCCCTTCTACGTGACTTTACCGAAAGAATCAAGAATATCAAAATAATATTGTTTTATATTTTTATTATATATTTTTATTGTTTCCCTTCTACGTGACTTTACCGAAAAAATCAAGAATATGCAATAGAGTTGTTTATACATTTTAGGTGTCCAGAAATGGAAAAAAAAAACTCATTGAGTCTCGATATTTTTTTTGCAGGAGGATGCAGAAAGAAAAAAAGCAATGCAACACTTTTTTTCATAGCCATAAATTGGGATGTTTGGCCCGATACCACGAATGAGTGAGTTTTCTTGCATTTGGAAGAAAATCTGATTACACGGGAGAAACTCAACCCAGCACGCAAGGCGATAAATGCCTGGCAGGGATAGGTTCGTGAACCTACTTGCTGTGCTGTCGTCTCCTGTGGCCAGCCGCTAAAGCACCTGAAGTGAAATTGATTGTGCAATCAAAGGCATGCTTGTCGATGGTCCTGATAACACGCGAAGAGGCAGTGTCCCCCACACAGGAAAATTGTCACGAGAGTCGGTGGTTTGAGAAGATTGCGCCCGAAACGTCGTGATTTAATTTATTTTGTTTTATATTATACCTATGTGACTTTACCGAAAGAACCAAAGAGTGTGGATCCCTGCAGTCACGAAAACTTCAAATCTAGATTGGAAAAAGTGGATTGCTATGTTAATTCTGCTGCTATATGTTCCGAGATGACGCTGTAGAAAAAAACTGGCATAAGTGGACAGGAAAGTGTTTAAATGTATCTGTTAAAATATAAAGCTTGAATGAAGCTGATTGCATTTTTTTAAGGACACCCTACATTTGAAAGCAGTGCAATTTGTGGAGGGGGGGCGGAAATCACTCATAAGTGTTCTTGGTTCTTTCGGTAAAGTCACGTAGAAGGGAAATAATATAAAATACAACATTACATTCTCACGACGTTTCGGCCACAACGCAAGCAGCCGTCCTCAGGTGAAGAACAGAGCTGTCGGAAAGACAGCGTCCTAATGAACACTGCTCTGCTTCGCAGCGTATTTTAAGCTGGGTGCGAGGAGCAGAGAGCCTTGACACTCAAAAGTGCTTTATGCAATCTTGATTTGAAGCTTTCTTGACTGCAGGAATCCATACTCTCTTTGATTATTTCGGTTAAGTCACGTAGGTATAAAATAAAATAAATCACGACGTTTCGATCGCAACGCAGCCCAGTAGCAGATTTGGGAGCCACAAATCTTCATGTGATCCACCAGTGCGTGGCCTTAAAGAGCAGGATAACAGGCGTGTAACAGTGCCGCTGAACCGTATTAACTCCATGGAGGATATCTGGGGACTCTTAAGTGATGACAGGTGTGCATTTTTTTTTTGGAATGACCTTGCGAGTGCACGGTAATGACACGCTCTGATGGCGATGATTGATGACTTTATGACGATGTGGAGGTGCATCAATGAGCTCGGCTGCTGATGTGATGCAGACGTGCAATATCACGTAACGCATCTTATACCCTCTTGCTGAATTTCCATTTCCATGCCCCGATAGTCATACTTTGTTACGTAATTGACTGCATGTGATAATTGCTTAATTCTTCACTAACCCCTGAAAACCTCATTGCATTTTCAAGACCTTTTTTTTGTGGAAGACTTGAATGAATGGGATAGTTGGGCAATTGAGTGAATGATGTTGTTTTGGTTTTCGAATAGGTTTAATGTCAGAATGTTGGAAGAACATTAACATGGCTGCATTGTCTCCACATACTCATCCTTGCCTTGCATATGGACGTCTTATGAACATGATGTACTGCATAGGAGATGTGGTATAAATAATTGTGTCACGGACCAATACCTGCATGGTCCACCAACCCTGCCTCTGAATGAATCACTGCATTACAGATGTGCGCCACCACCACTGGCTATAATGTGTACACCCGTACTTTATTGTGTGTATAAATAGGCATACAGGAGCTCACATATATCATGTGAGTGCACTAGCTAGCACATTTTACCATCCTGCCAAATACCTAATTAGGTGTCTTGCTGTAGCAAGAGCTGGCTAGAGCTGGGTGTTTTACTGCCTTTACCTTTGCCTTACTCTGCAAAATAATAATGAAGCTGTATTATTCTTAACTCCTGAGTTCATATGCCACTGAAAGCTAGTCAATCAATCTGTCGTACTCTTTGCATGCATTTGTAGTGAGTTCAACTGAGTCGCAGACGTACACTTGGAGGCAAACACATTTATTTAACACCAACACACGGGATAACTGCCCCTTAACAGAATAACAACCTATGGTGGTGACCACCAGGCTAACTACGATAGTTATCACGTAACTACGTAACTAGCTACTACGGACCGGGACCACAGCTCGGGTCCAGGTCCACGTGATGGAGACTCGGTAGAACGTAGGACGTAGACGAAGGTTTCTTCAGGATGAACAACAACGCCGGTCCCTGTGGGGAACCCGACTTATGTTCTCTGCGGCGTGGCTGGCTCCACCCTTGGCCACGACCACCTTCCAGAATCCTCGAGCAAGATCTGGACCCAGGACCACGTGGCCACCCCTAGCCCCCCACTTGGGGCCCCTTTTGTAGACTTAACTGGTCACGTGCCCTCTCGGGTCAACCAGAGTGCCATGGCCTTTAGTAACCTCATTCCTACGGCCGGCACTCCCACACCCTGCCCTGTAGGGCTGGCACTGCACGCCAAGCGTGGTGCCATCCAGCGCTATCAATCGGCGCTGACCGAGCCCCTCTAGGGACGCTACTACACCCACACCATAGTGGTATCCGCGATGTCAATACACCGCACGCCGTGCCTCTAGGGCCGGCACTACACAGTGACATCCCGCGATGTCACTACACATTTATGTAAGTACTCCTTTTCAAGTAGGAGCTGGTTAGGTGGTACCAAGTGTGTAGTCTTCATACAGGTTATTTCACTATTATAATATCAGCCTTTGAGATCGTTTAGCTTTGAAGATTTATCAAACCTTGCCAGGAAGGGTCTATTAACATTAAATAATCACAGCCATTGAAGTCTTAAAAAAAATTCGCCAAAAACATTTCGCTTTTTTTGTACGTTTTGGTGTGGTATATTTTTCCAAGATAAATCATATTTTTAATGCAATTTAACATTTATTGCCATCTATTTGTGAAGTTTATGATGCCATTTTTAATCTAAATCCTAATCAGTTTGCTTCTCTACGGGAGAGAAATTAAACTGCATTGCATGTGCTCACCATGAAATTCCACGTGCCTGACAGCCCAAAGCACAATCATTCAAAAAATATATATCATCCCATTCGAGCGGAGGGGGTCTGCATTGACTGAGTGGTCCGCAGGCCAATAACGTTTGAGAAACACTGAACTACATCTATGCTACCTGCTGTCACTAACCCACACAGATTCCCCCTCTACTCCCCCGACAACCCCCATGGCGTGGGACGTCCCTCATCCAACAGTGGAGTCACAAAAGGCCTGTACATGTAGAATAAAGTACTGTCATGGAGCACTTATTAAATGCAGTTCGGTATACGCCAACTACCCTGCTTTTCCAGAGTAGAGATCATGAAGAAAACCTACTGGTTAAATTATCGATTTTTTGTTTATTATATACGTCAGTTTTTATGACCAACATTTTGATTCATAATGATTTATTTTGGATTATAGAGCGTGTAGTTATGATGCCAGTTTTATACTATAACTCTCCACCCCCCCCCCCCCCCGACAAAGCCAGTCAAATCAAGGTGTCATGTGGGGAAATATACCAATTAATTTGGTTTATCAGCAAAGGATGAGAGCTGAGCTTTTCTTAAAACCTGATAATGCTGGATGTAATCTCTACCAAATGCCAGATAAACATGGTAAACATTTTGCTTGCTTTTAAACATTCCGCTTTTTCTGATAAACCAAATGAGTTCATATATTTGCCCACGTTACAACTTGATTTCACTGGCTTTGTGGATTGGTGGATGGCTAAAGTAAAAAAATGGTTTTATACCGACACGATTTAACACCAATTATCAATGATATTCCTTTTTTTAATATTTCTAGTTAAGATAGCTGTAACATTATCATTGTACCATACAATTACATCGCCCGAAGTGCGAGCATGGACACTTCTTAAGTGAAGAGTGTATAGAGAATAATTCGATGCTGATGGAAACGATGCTGTAGATTTAAAAGGCTGCACACTCTAAAGTACTTTTCATGGCCCACACACAGCAGATTTTGAATGCGTGCAATTGGCAAAAAACGAATCACCCCTACTCTACTAATCAACAGATGCATGAATTGCACATAATCTCATTTGAATATTTTTATGTGAATTGAAAAACGTTGGCAGACATGGACATCTGGACTGCAGTGGCCCCTGAGGATTAGAGGCTGAGGTGAACTTGTGGGTGGCAGCGTAATGCTCGCGATGCCCCCTTACATTGGCCGACTCTTAAATGCATGCACAGCAGAGATTGTGTTCTTTTACATATATATACTGCCTGCAGGACCTAACAGTAATCACATTCTTGTTTCTGAAATTGCACGTAGATCGAATCATTGTAGTCCCGCACATTTGCACACAGACTGATATAGTGTGTAATTGCACAGTCTGGTATAAAAAAAAAGTGTTTAATTATTGATATCGTATGGAATGAAATGTTTTTTTTTTATGAACAGTGCTTGGGTCAAATTTCATGTACTGCAAGCCTGCATTAATTTTAGTGTTATGCATGTATCTGTTACGTTTGGTGTCTTAGCAAATTGGTTACATGAGTCGGATTTAAGAGGTTACATTGTAGCCGGATCCCCATTTCAGAAATTGTGTTTCAATTTGAACATTGAAAATGATAAACGGATGTTACAGCCTATTTGAAACAAAAATTAAGCTTTTGCTATTTTATTTCCTTTTTGTTGAAGTGCACATTTTAATTTTTGTGTAACCGTTTCAATAAATTGAGCCGACGATGAGTAATGACGGTTATAAACTGGACAGCAGGTAAGGAATAAAAAATTATGCAATATGCCACTGCACTGAATTTCAGTTGTGCACAGTCTCTTGGCATTTTTCCCCTTTTTTCAACACTCCGATCCTTTCTTGAGTGCACTTTCACAGTTATTCCTTTATTTAATTGGTTATTGTTACTTGAGTTCCAAGAAAATTCATCCCCCGTGTTTAGTTGTATTCCTGTAGAGTCCATTCTGCCCTGTGATGTTTTCGAGCGAGACCGCATTGATGCATCATAATTGATGTTTATAAAGCATTAGTGGCACATTGCCAATTTTGTGCATTTACATGATGGGCTACTTATATCACTTAAAAGTTGAGAAATCTGGAATGAAAACTCACAGGTTGCTGTGGACAGCATTTCAATGAATCATCTTGATGCACCAACCATTGCCATTAGTTGTTTAGTGCAGTCACTTAATGTTGATTACGTGGAACGTGATATATCATTAATCTATCAACTCTTATTGTGTTAGATACACCAGGTGCCACTAATGTATGCGTCCAACGTATTATTTTGGACATGCGATGATTAGATAATTACACACGTGTATGTGTGTGTCCACGTATGTATGTATAGCGGGGAGTGGTATTGTAGCGGTTAGCGCGCTGCAAACCCGGCGACCCGCGTTCGATTTGCACTCACGGCCAACAACAGTGACTGTTATTTGGAACGGGCCCGGGCCTCCCCTAGGTCGACTCAGCCTCAAATGAGTACCTGGTGTGGTTTTTAAACATCGCCACTAGGGAGACAAAGGCGGTCGGGCGTGGTGTTGTCCACCCACCCCCTTGTGTGCCGTGCCGGCCTTCATAGGTGCTCACTAACAGCACTTGCCCCAACAATCTATTCAGGCTGTGTCTTTGTATGATATTAGAACTGGTGATATGTTTTTGCTGCCAAGCTAAAGATAATCTTACGTTAAAGTTTTGTGTTACTTAGTCTTCTCGGTTTAGTTTATGAAATTTTACATTAAAATGTTCATGTTGCGCAATAAATGTTTTACTCATGTGTTTCCCCCTAACCCATGTCTACCTTAAATAACGGACGTATATCTCAATAGGCTCTTTCTGGCTTGTAATAAATCAAAATAATTAAAAGTGTTCGATATTTTATTTTGCTTCCATTTGTTCCACGATTCAGTTTTGCTGGCATTTTTTTATAATTTACAAAATATACCGCACCCTTAATGAGAAACACTACAATAATCATCGAGTATAATTACGCCTAACATACCTTGACAAACGTGTACATAGCTTTTAGACAATATTTACAGGGATTAAACTATCATTTAAGCTGCAAAAGTTCCAGAAGAATTGATGGCATCTATAAAAGTATGTTATGAAAGCTGTTTCGCTGAAAAGTCAATAACGGGGAACTTTGTTTCCTTTGGCCTAAAAAAAGAAAGTTTCCCGCTTTAGCATCCATGTCAGTGGATTGTCAGATTAGGTGCGCTTCTGGGCAGATGTGTTGTGAGCCGGCCGACCTAAATCCCCGTCAATTAAATTTGCGCGCGTTGCTCGCGGCTACGCGTTTGTCTGAATTTTTTTTCCTTTAAATGTTTTTTCGCGTGTTGTCGCGACACGTTCTTGTACGTGTGTGTGTGCGTGCGCGCGCACGCTCAGCTTGGTGCTCTTCTGCCCGTTAACTTTTACGTTTGTGTGCCTTTCGTGTGCTCGCGATGGCGGGGCTGCAGGTGTTCGTCGCGGAGAGGATGGAAGAGCACCAGGCCACGTTTTTAACGCAGCTGCTGCACTCGTGCGTGCTGCCCACAGCTGTGCAGGGCCTTGAGGCCATTTGGGCCCTGCTCTTGCTCTGCCTTCTCATCCGCGCTTACTGCCGCCTGAGTACGTCCTCCTGCACAAACCCTGTCTCCCGCGTCGCCGTCTCTGTCGTCTCCTTGTCATGACGTTCCCCCGCGAACGCTCACGTTGAGCCCGGTATTGTGAGCCACTGATTGATTTCGTGTTTTTCTTTTCTCCAGCAAGCACGGTGCGCTTAACATTTAGTAGCGATGTGGTCAAAATGTGCTGGGCTTCGTGGCGATTAATTCAACTTGGGTCATCACAACCCCCTCCAACAGACTGCCTTATTGTGATTACCGCTCTGTTTTAGTCACGTGCAAATTAAGCCTCGGCACACCGCATGCACCTGATAGTTGGAAATCGCGGGGTTGAGAAAATTGTGGACTTAACCAACATAAACGTGGAGGATATATGAAGGGTGGAACGATTTATCCCCCCCCTCAGCCCCCCACTAGATATTCAATCATTCTTAGGATTTAAATTTCAGACTAGATTCTTTTTAAATCCTTTATATTAAGTTCATTTGCTTGCGTGCTTGCTTGCTTACGACCGTGCAAATCTTTCGATCGTTTTTTAACCCACTTCCCGTGATCCAATCGAGCTGACATTTTGCACACAGACTCGTTGTGCGTGACAATTAATTTTCGTGAAATTTTTTTTCCAAAATTTTACACTGTTTATGGAAATTTTTTAAAATATTTAATTACCAATTGCTTAATGCTGGCATAAAATCATCTGACCCATAGGTGGCAGCCAGAGGACGAGAGGACTCTAGCCGCCACGCATATAAAGGATTTATCGTGAAAAACTTGGTTTTTACGGGTTAATTTTTTAACATTCTGACAAATGGTAGTACCTCTCATCGCTGCAGGGGTGGTGCAAACCTAAATATGTACAACATACACAAAAAACTATTCTTACACGCTTGATGCTACGTGTGTATCGTGAGTTTAAAAACGAATATGAATCATTGACTTGATTTAGTCCTTTCGGTTAAGTCACGTCTAAAGATAAAATAATAAATTAAATTAAATAATAGCATATGACGTTTCGATTGCAACACAAGCAATCATCATCAGGTATAATGAAATAGCGACATAAAATCTAACCAGAAAACTATAGACAGACATATTAGCAGACAGATATCACCAAGATACATAGAGGGAGCAACACAGGAACCAGAGAGGGGTGATCATCTCTGTGGGGTGGCCTTAAATGATCACCCCTCTCTGGTTCCTGTGTTGCTCCCTCTATGTATCTTGGTGATATCTGTCTGCTAATATGTCTGTCTATAGTTTTCTGGTTAGATTTTATGTCGCTATTTCATTATACCTGATGATGATTGCTTGTGTTGCAATCGAAACGTCGTATGCTATTATTTAATTTAATTTATTATTTTATCTTTAGACGTGACTTAACCGAAAGAACCAAATAATCATTTACTGCAGTCACGAAAGTTCTAAAATTAAGATTGATTTAGTCCATAGAATATATGAGCGTGCAAAAAAAAAATCTCAATTTGTTCCCATATAGAAATCCAGTTGTACTTTGCTTTCTGTCATTCACTTGCACATCTCTTCCATTGTCAGTCACGCAGCCTGGGCCCTCCCATTAATTCACCTCGTTGTTGCTCAAAGCAAATTAATGGGTTGGTTACTGCGGAGAGATTATGGTGTAGTGACAGTATGCCTGTCTCCATGTTGCCATTATTGTGTGCGTTTTATCGGTTCCTCGCCATATCCCAGGGACGCACTCCCAGGAGACTCAATAAACCTCTAATCCTTCTCCATGATAATGAGCACAGCCGACTGCCAGCATACATTTGCACTCCGGTAGGTTTTGTTGCGTGTACACGGGTAATCAAAAGCTAGCACAGCGAAGAAATCAAATAGTTGCACGCTTGCTCTCCGGTTCCCGAGTCAGAAGAGTAGTCCTTTACTCATTTAATCTCGCGCAAGGCAGTGCACTGAATACGGTTCAGATGTTTTATTTCCAAACACGGGCGCGTTACTGCCACTGCAATGAGTGCTTCCCGCATCCCAAACGTAACCTCTTTGATTTAAAGCTTCTTTCGTGACTGCAGGGATTCATATTTTTGGTTCTTTCGGTAAAGTCACCTAGAAGGGAAACAATAACATAATTAAAAACACCGCAAGAAAATAAAAAAACGCCACTTTTTTCAAAATTTATTGCTGTGTTTTTTTCACACCTGATAATGATTGCTTGTGTTGCAGTCGAAACGTCGTGATAATTTTATTGTTTTTATTTTATTTGATTAATTCCCTTCTACGTGACTTTACTGTTGAGGCATTTCAAGGGAAATACAGTTGGGCTTTGCTGCAAGGGGGAGCAAGGTGGTTCCGATTAAACATAGCAGACACAGGCCATAAATCATCACTGAATATGTTCCAGTTTGCTGTTAGACTCAAGTAGGTTGGCATGTGACTGGTAGCTCACAACCATAGATCGAGGCACACTGAAGCAGAGTCATTCATTAGACTTGAGGAATCTGACGAGCTGCAAAGCTCTTTTTCACAGGTCAGCAAATTACAGCAGCAACAAATTCACGGAACGATAGGAGTGCAAAATAGAGAAAGAGGTAAGCAAGTCACTAAATATAAATACATATTTAAGAAATAATTTGTACAAGTCCGATTTATCAGTCTTGGGCAAGGCGGCAAAAACAACAACAACAAGATAATACCACACAGTAGCAGTCCCTCAATAAAATGACACATTCAACTATCGATAAAATGACACATTCAACTATCGATAGACAATAAAATGACACATTCAACTATCGATAGACAGGTAAGGAGCAAAGTTACAAATCACATTTGCAAATCTGACTGTATCCAGCACTAATGCCTGTTGTCGGGTTCCAGTGTGGAAATGTTTCTATTCGCCAACGTGGACAGACGCAGCTGAAATGAAGACCTGATTGCACACGAGAGCGTTACCACCATGGTGTAACGGTTAGCACATTGGACTTGCAATTCAGAGGGGTCGTCTGATTGATCTCCCGGCGTGGCAGTTGAACCAATGGGCACATGTCTTAAATCCCCTCTGCTTGTCCAACCCCCAGCGGTGGACATGAAGTCAGTCGGGAGGTTGCGTGTGGCGAGGTAAAGTGTGGCTACTCCAATTACTTCTAGAGGGGCTCCCTTTAGAGCTCCTTCTAGCGGGGCCCTTTCGCCAACAGAGGGGCGAGCGGGCAATTTCAGGGCCACACCTTTATTTTTTTTAATAATTTTTTTTCCACAGGAGAATGAATCATTGTCAGGCACCATATAATGGTGCATAACCTTGCATCACCCTCCGTAAGAAGGTATCCCCAAACCTAAACATGACAAGCTTCGTCCGCAGCCTTGTGCCTCCCCACGGTAGTTAGGCGTATAATTGAAATTAGTCACATTTTGCAAGGTGGAAGCGAGCACTTAGGGCCTGAGCGTGTGTTTATGCGTGCATGCGTGCATGTGTGTGAGTGTGTTGGGAGTGGTTGTGCAACGGTTAGCGCACTGCGCAACGAACCCAGCTAGCAGAGTTCGATTCCGGCCCACGGCCAAGACCAGTGACGATTTTCTGAATTGGTCCTGAGCCTACCCGAGGTCGACTCAGCCTCAATGAGTACCTGGTGCAATGTGTAAACATCGTCACTGAGGAGACAAAGGCATCTGGGTATGGTGCTGGCCACCCACCCCCTCTTGCGCCATGCCAGCCTTCATTGGTGCTCGCTCACAGCACTTTCCCCAACAGTCTCTTAAGGCTGTTTGGGGGTTCTTTGACTTTGTGTGTGAGCACGTGGGTACCGTGCATGCATTTGCTCTGGATGAGCATTTTACAGGCTCTGCATGGAGAGAGTGGTGCATTAGAGGGTTTGCAGATACTTTAAAAATTCGCTGATCACTTGAGGTGGTTGGATTTGTCAGTGTAGTGACAGGTGAGAGGCATTTTTACAGCAGTATTTACTGCGGATATGTTGTCCTTTGGGAAACAAAGACATCTTTATAACCTTTTTAGGAAGTCTCATTGACGCACTTGCTATTATAAGAACGACATTTTATTTGCAAACAGCTTGCACCAGCATGGCAAGGAATGCGTGACATTTATAGGAGGGTAATATTTCTTTCAGTAATATCAGATCTGTTAAATTGAATACATTTTCCTTAATTTAAACAGGTGAAAGCCCTCTGTGATGCATTGTCTATTTCACTAGAGAGCAGTATAAAAACATTGTAGTGATAATATTTATTTTATTTAATAGTCTTTATAAATCCTTCTTCTTGATGTAGAACTCCTCCCTGATACAATGTCAGTCACGTAGGATGTTTGGCCATACTTCACCACACTGGTCAGTGAGGTTCGGTAAGGTGGAACGGGGGTAGCATCACTCACCGCTGATTTTAACCACGGCTGAGAATTAGGTCACCCGAATCGTAGGGTCACAGTACACTAACCAGTGTGCACCGTGTCGCGATAATACGTCGTTGAAAAAAATATATAAACCAGTACTGCTGATATTGCACATAAAGACTTCACAGATTCCCAGTGTTTTTATGTGGCGATTACAGCCATCGTTCCAAGCCTGTGCAGTCGACGTTTCCCATTTACGAAATAATATATTTTTTTACTTGACTTGCATCATTGCACTTTGCGTGTCTCTCATTTCTTTCACAGCCTCCTATTGCCTGGGCGTAATTGGCTGGCACTAACGCGATCGTTGTGGCCCTCTTGAAGTATTTATGCGAATGCTAGCGCCGAACTTTTATATTCGCGTGGCTTCTTGCTCGCGAGGCAGTCGCTCGCTACGGCTGCTGGAGTGACTCTCTGCCAGAGGTCGCAACCGGGTACCCAATACCCGTACCCTACCCGATACCCGGCTACCCGTACCCGGCCAGGTACGGGTAGCCGTTTACGACCCTGGTGCGGCCGGGTGCGGGTACAGGTAAGGAATCAAAACTCGTTTGCGACCTTTGCTCTCTGCCAGCAGAGTGGGTTAAGCTTTATTTTTACTTTATGTTTCCCTTGCCCCTCGCCGTTTG